GTRGTGCTCGAATTTGGGAAGAGGAAGATGAGGGYTAGGGGAAGGTTTCTTCCCCCTTCTCTGTCGCCCGCCCAAATCTCTCCTGTCCCCTACCAAATAGAGCTCTCTCGATCGGATGGGTGCGCGCAGGGTATTTCGACTTATGCGACAGTTGGAAGCGAAAAAGGTTTTATTTCGCCTTCTCTCTCGCCCGCCCAAATCTTTCCTGTYCCCAAACCAATAGTGGTCGATAGGTGCGCGATCAGATAGGTGCGCGAAGGGTATTTGGACTGCGACAGTTAAGAGGCAAATAAGTTTGCAGTGCAAAGGTTTACCTGACATTTTCCATCGATACATATCTTTTTTAGATCTGACAAGCAMGGTGTTCCATCTTCTACTTTAGGCAGTAATCTTAGAAAGAATCGATGTCCTTTTGCTAAACAATTCAGCTCACATTCTTTACTATCTGCAACTGAACACACAAAATTGAATGAGTCAAACACCGTTTTACATTTCCCGGKGTGCTAACATTTTTTGTACCTCTAAGATATGGTGCCCAGTCAAAATAGTACCCATTAAATGACGTCCCGTTGAATTTMGCACACTGACGAGCCCTTGACGTAATAGCATCATTTTTTGTTACTTTATGGTCAATTGGACAATCCTAGCGAAAACAAAACTCTGATCAGTTGTTATAGTAAAAATACGAAAACATCTATAACTATTCAGCGCTTGCTTCGTAAAGGCCCAATTGGAAGCCTCAACAAAAAGGAGTAAGACGAGGTGCTGGAATCAATCATTCAGCGTTGCACAAGTACAGAGTAAGGACCACTTGAGAACCAAACGATTAATCAACAATTAAATCCCATTTTCAGCTCAAAAATGTTCATTTAGATTAAATCTATTAAAGCTATAGGGCAATTAGTGAAAATTCTTTTACTGCTTAGAAAAACCACCATGAAACAAGCTCTTAAGTCTTGTCAACAAGCCTCATTTACGAAGGGCGTATTTACGATAACATCAAATTAAGAAAATTTCGAACATTTCTTCTTGTGCCTGAGTGATTAAACTGTGAAAARCGATTGTTGTTAAAGACATTTTTAAAGTTATTGATGTCAATTAAAGAAGAGGTTATTCAAGACCGTCTGAGTACTTTGCGTAACGTATACTGTAAAAAGGACTTGAAAAGAGACACAGACTGACTGGAATTTTACCAATGCTTGCATCATATTCAGAACAGATCTCTACTATCTCTGTAAGAGCTCAACAGTTTTGAGACTATCGAATAAACGTAATATAATAAGTAATATAAAAAAKMTGTTTATTTTATTATCCATATGTATAAATGGCGATACCATTATAGTTTTTGAGAAAAAGAGCCATGACATTRRTGTGATGGRATAGGTGAGTTGATGTTACACCTAATGCGCTGCCTCCGGCTGAAGGCGCACGCGAAAAGTCTAGTCTCAGCTTAGACTGACAACAATAAAAAAAAATATTGGAACGTCAATGAATTCTTTGCTAGGTCACCTTTGTCAATCTTTCGTCATTATTTGTTTCAACTTTCCATTGGAATTTGCTCCTGCTAGCAATTATAAGCAACTATTATAATTACTGTAAACTGTACTTTGGCGGGAATATGATGTAAACTAACCTTTAAAATGACTCTCTAAGCATTTAAAACAAACACCGAATGTAAGATGTTCATGTTGATATTTACAGTGTCGATATTCGCCTAAAATGGTCGTATTTCAAGAGTGACAATGTAATAAATCGATTAACTGATTGGAAAGTAAAAACAATCACAAATACTTATTCAACGCTTGAAAAATTGAAAACATTATCACTTCTAATTCCTCATCAACATGTGATGTAACGATACTAAACTGCGTTAAAAGCATAAAAACACAAGCTTTGCACGCAAATGACCTTAGTTCTAGTTCAACATGCCAGTCAAGATAGAAACCAAATGATGTGGTACTAACCCTTAAACCTCTACATTTCCATGSTCGAGTAGTTGGTGGTACAGTGGACAGTTTTTGAGTTGGTTTTAGCAATCTATCATCGGGAAAATTCCTACGGTTCATAAAGCTGTAATTGCCAAGTTTTTCCAAAGCCGTGAAGTAGATGAATTGTTCATAAGAATCTAGTGTTCCTTTGCCTAATTCAGCTTCCATAAGTCGTTGCATTGTCCTTCTTAAATTCAGTGTTTCCTGGACACTGATGGATTGTGTTTTCAGAGCAAGAGAAAGTACGAGGATACCACACAAGAGTAACATTGCTGTGTGTTTACTACGCGATACGAACTGAAGRTTGATCTGGTCGACGCATACAACCGTGAAGACCTTGCGTTACGTTGATTTTTACGTAAAAATTAACCGCAGAAATGACACCACATTTTCAAGTGTTTTCGCTGATACCGCGAGTCGTYGTTTGAGATGAACAGCGGAAAGGAATGGCTGATATAAAAGTTACGGAAGGTTATGGTCATGCAMATGAAAACAAACCCTTTCAAAACACAGGCTGTCATGGTAGTAATCCCTTCCACGAGGGGGATTCAGAAGGTTATCAGCATGAAGCTTATTTAACCGCAAGATGACAGACGCCTACACGACGATACGTACTGCGCACAATCAACAAAATCGTATCAAACTGATAATTGCATGTTTAGCGAAACTGTAATTGCAATAAAAATATTCAATAACATAATGTATAGTGTCTCTAAGCTATCATTAAATCAAACTGTTTTATCTCATGTAGTCATTGAGACCATGTTGGTTAACTTAATTACGAGGAAATCGGCTGACAATTTAATTTCCTTAAATAAACGAGTTAATCTAAGAACTGCTAAGAAGGATAAAAGTACTTGAAAAGAAGTAGCTAAACCAATGGATCATCCACAAACTGGATCGATCATAAAGATCTGAAAAATCGGTGATAACAAACGAGCTTCTTGGGTTCAAAATAAGCTACAGAAATCTGTCATGATATCTGCGCAACAAAAGGCTGACAAGGAAGGSCTGCAACTTTTTGAATGMAACAGCAACAAGACTGTTAAGAAAAGTTATACCTGTCCAAGCTATACTATTACTGTTATAAGGAYATTAGGATGCCATTAGGAATAAGAATGTCTAAGAAAGACAAGGAGATAAAATACACGATGAAATCAGACCTGCGTATCATTACCAATCTCCGCACAAGCCGATTAGCATACAAAGTCATCAAACGTAAGACTATGCGTTTCAGCGGCTGGAAAGCTCATTCGGTATACTCAAAAATAGTAAAAAAAAGTTGTGGGATCAGCTTTTGGAATGTGGTGATGACGAAATCGTGCAAAAATTCAAACTACTTTCGCTCTAAGAACCATCTACGTCAATTAATATGTCTCATCGACATGTGGCTGGGGTGATTCCAGAATCTTCCATCATCTACTGCTGATATCATTAGTCTGTCCCGCCAGTCTAGCCCACCATCATCACAAAAGATCAGACAAGTTAAAGGCTGAAAAAGTGATGAAAGGTTCCTTGGCGGAAAAACGAAAGGCCGACACTCTTTTCTTTTTTTTCCCATTCATCCGTTTTTTTCCAACTCTCTCTTTCCTTTCTTTTTGGTTTTCTTTTAAAAATTTTCACTCATTTTTCTTTTCCTGGTTCCTAAGCCTCTCTTTTCACTCAGTACATGTAATATTTCATTGCGCTGGGTTTCCTTGATTATAAGATTGCTATTAACTATCTAATAATACCTTATTTAGAAGCTTAACATACCTGGAGATTACAGGTACTGTATTCTACATCAGGTCCTCGGCAGCTACCTTGATTGTGCTGTCTGTATATTTTTAGTATAAATTGTGGATAATTACGATTACTGAAAAAAAGAAGAAAAAAAGATAATAACTTTGTCTTAACAAACTTGACTGATTCTCTTGAGTACGAATTGTATTGAGGCAAGTTAATTACAATGGGAAAAGTACGATTCTGTGCCGCTCCACAGGAGCACCAAAGATGATACACAGGAAGCCCATACCTRACGGGATCTTCACATGTCCGTCTTCGAGTTATAGTTCCTCCACCGCACGATCTACTGCATGACGTCCATTTACTCCATTGCGTCCAGCGGCCTCCCCCAATCCCTCTCCACTAAAAACACAAAAACAAGGTAAGAACAAGATCGACTTTAAGCTTTTCTAACTTTAGTTTGTTCTCTTCAGGTTCCCTGTGTTATAGGAAGAGTGCGGAGCTGGGCTGGGTCTAACATTTTATCTCAATAGTTGTTAAGAGAATAGTGAATGGAAAGACTTAGTTATGCTTCACTGTACACAACCAGGGAGCAATATATGATACCTTTGTAATTAAGAACTTAATGAATCAATCCGATTTGGTGGATGATAATCAGCACTACAATAGACTTGGAAAGCACTGAGATGACTTTCAGATCGTTTTTCTGTTGCCACTCTTTAGCCCGATACTCATGGTCTGATGGTAATGTAGTTAGGGTTATGAAAGAGTATCATTCTTGTAAGTTTTATGAGTAGATATATATATCAATAGAAATGAATATGCAATTGATTCTGTGAGATAAGATTAARGACAAGAAGATGATGACAGGTAAAMCTTATTAACCCTACTTATCACTAGATAAGAACGATAACAACAAGCTATCAAAATCACGACAACTATTACTGATTTCACAGTCMTTTCTCGTACTATTCCAGCAAAGAGAGAAGCTACAGTCAACGATRTTGYTAAATATGAACCCATTGCGCATGMCCKTACATGATTTCTTGGCCTATCCCACATGGATTAGGGTCTCATTTCGTAAAATCCACGTGTAGATATCACGAAGTGTGTATAGATATATCATAGAGATAGAGTATATTGGCTTAATATTGTTAATTATAAACCTGTAATTATTATTTTAAACAATTACATAACAATGGTCACTGATAAACGATCCAAAAGGCTAGTCGAGGCGTCGACCATCTTGGCTCCAGGCAAACACCTAAAAACTTGGACAAAAACAGTTCTCTCGGGGCTCGATTCTCAAGTGCTTGAAAGCTTTTARCAAGGCTATCGCTGACAGGCTTGTTTCGTAGGGTCTTAAAATGGTAAACGAATTCATTATTCGACAACAACTCATTGAGACATCGCCGCGGCACAAAGTCTAGATCTACAAAAGGAGGCTGGATTTCTTGACACGGACATCTTCAAACGTCGAACCACACATGTGTGGATYTCAATGCGAGTGGGCTGTATATTTTTAACTTTGAGTCTTTCGCGTAAGTTGGTTATTCCAGAACTGAACAAATGATAGGGGGTAATATACACTGGATTCGWCACATGTGAAATTCGCCGCATTATCAAACGTTCATTGAGCAGGGGTGGTTAGAGTAAATCTAACGTTGATGGTGTTTATTCTAAAATGTGTYGTAATTCACAACCAGCTCTRCAGAAATAAAACGTCTAATGGCAACCAAATTACTAGCTTAAGAAGTTGAATTCAGGGACATTCAAAGARTTTTTMTTTAAAGTTACGCTTCTTTGGTTTTCACTACAAAACAATAACCGAAAAACAGTKCAAAATTYTACCCCTGCTGTTCATAAGGAACCACCTAGTGRTCTCAAGCCACAAACCCCCATCTAACAAGACAAAAACAAATAACTATTACTTTAAAGAGTTGAATCCCAGTAGCACACTGTCTGARATTTGAAATCAAAAGGAACTAGTTTTGGCATGAATGACGCTCGTTGTGTTGTTCAAATTCTAAGTTTACCCAAAAGAATGTCATAGCAAATTAGTTTATTGTTATCAGAAGGAATTTGATTAACTACAATTAGTAGTAAATTAGTGAAGCTTTCATTATACACTTCTAAGGGCCCTAAAGGGTTGAATATGGTTAGCTATGTCACTATCATGAATTAAGTGTAGGTACCGTTCTACCCCCCAGTGCGATGCACAGTCGAGTGCAACAATTATCGATTTCAAATCATGCAATTTAATATGATTAATGTCTATTAAAATCACTCAGAAACCGATTACGATGACGATTTAATCCCTAAAATAGAGAAAAGACACAATACTTTAGGTGATCTATGTCAAAGTTTATACACTTGTATACAGAATATATACTTCTTGTTTTTATTATCATTCAAAAGACTTTGATTTATGTCGCAACCGAAAAGGAAATAGCTAAGAATCCAAGAATAGAAAACAAACAATCTTTTTATTAAAAAATACACAATCCTGGCTACCGCCTACTCGGTACACTTGAAATATTATCGAACGYTTTACAATCTATGAAAGAYTTCTTCACCCTGTGTCATGTCATCAAAAACCTTTTAACAGTTCGAAAGGCTAGCAAGATTTATTATGACAAAACGTCGCTCACGATCATAGCTTTACGCAATCATGAATCGCACGAGCCATGGATATAACAAACGATTCCACTCAACTTGTCAATCAACATGATATTAGCATTTTATGGCCTTTTTGTGTAAGTTTGTACATTTCAGCCTTTTTAGATTAAGCAAATACTCAAATAGATGAAGTTGTACAATAATTCTTTAACTTTTTAGACCAACTCAAACGCCTGTAGTGGGTTTCATCAATGTTTTGACTATGATAATTTAATTGCTTGACAATAATCGGCACGGCGTAATGATTACAAGTGGGAAGGTCTAATTTTAGATTCTAGTGATATTATACTTTAGTTTTAACTAGTTTAGCAACAAGCTGTGTATTAGTACAYGACAGGAGGCAAAACGTGTCCAAAAAGCTCACCTTTTGACTGCTATAGCTCATCAAAACAACATGTTTTAAATACACTATAATTGTTGTTCAATTATTGGGTTATAATTAAACTTCAACCACGTTATACGTTTTCAAACGCGAATCTAAATCTCTGTACACTTTGTTTAACTATATTTCCACTATAAGATGCCCCAAAAACGATTCGTTTCGGCCTATGCTGACAACTTATGACAATAAAGTAGAAAGCTATTATCAGCGACAAGCTAGGACTTGTAAAACATTGTGTAAAAGTTTGCAAAACTTTTCCAGCGACCGCAAGATTTGAGGATTTATCGAAATGACACGAAAACGCAATAAAAATAGATGATTAAGGTCTCTAGTTAAATTAATTAACACTATGGCACCTATACACAGTATTACAACACCCTCGATAAGGTAAATTAAACATGGATGGACGTGAAAACTATGTGACAATATGCAAGATTAACCTTGATGCTAAATACGTCAATTATCACTCTATATTGTAGATCAAACGAGAACTGTAGATACTTATTCAAAGTTCTAAAAAGATATAGATCGACTAACCTGAAACGAAGCTACACCAATGAAGATCTTGAAKAGGATGAAACAGCAAACAACAAACTTCATGATTCTAGAAATCAAAAAGGTAAAGTTAACATCATATATTCTTAATTCTTGTAAAACTTGTACTAACGCATACACAAGAGTTAACACATTTGTTCAACGACTAGTATTTCTGATAATAACCACTGTTCAGAGTTGTACAGCAACCATAKAAGTCCACTTACAAAAAGTCACGTCCAAAGGCCTACAATTCCATCACTAAGTATAAAGGCAAATAAATATTCGTGCGCCAGGGAAACCAGATTTGTGTTGGATTATGTTCAAAGACAAGAGCGTAGTACGGTTCAACAGTTCACCAACTCGGTTACCGAACACACGAGATACTGCGCACAGCGCTGATYTATCGTACAATGTAATTAAGACTGGAATGCCTTATCATGACAAAGAGAACAATAACAAGTATGAAGGGAAAGCCCTTCYGAACTCAACCAAGCAGAACTTTCAAAATATATATTCAACTGATTGTCATATTCGGATGACCAGAGACCGCAACTTTGAATATCTATTGTGCCTCGACCCAGACCCCCGCGTGTTTAACAAATTTCTGCAATTTATCCGGAAATGRTTTACAATATKGTGTACAGTGCTTGATTTTCGCCATTAAGAATACTTTTTCRATGCTTTCAAACTGATTCAAAGAATCACTCTTAGGTTTTTAGTCATCGTTATCATTATTATCATCAACATACTTATCGATATGTATTAACATTCATTGGAATATCTGCATGATCACTGCTATCATTACTGAAAATCATTTCCATTACGACTATTAGCACATAATATCATCAACCTAAATCGAACTATCGCACTGAACCTCGAATGAGACGAGGTATAACTAAAATCATGCACTGATCGAAGAATGTCGGGATGGGGTGGATCAATGATTCGTTTCTTCTTCTTCTTCTTCTTTCTCTCATGAGACGCCATTGTTTTTTTTAAGAGACTGACGTGCAGGGCACTCGAGGAGTATAAAAGAGGAAAAGGCGCTAGGGTGCGTCTACACCAGCTGCATCCAACCCTGTTTGATCTATTTTCGAAGTGGCTATTTTTATCTTAAAAACACTTTGTTCACGCACGCAGTATTAACTGACATGTGATAGAATATATCACGAGTATTTACCGTCGTTACTGTCCATCACAGAACCTGATTGATGTACTTAAACTATCTGTTATTGAATAAACAAACCTTGGTTTTTGTTTGCAAAGAGAAAATTCCAGGAAAAGTTAATTAACTAAAGAGCCTTTTGCACTAAGTATAGCTCAGTCATAACCCTCGTCCCAGCAGCCAAGTGCAATTTCACTTTTCGTTCAAAGTTACGTATACTTAGTTTAGTTGTAGCATGGTTTGCGAAATTCAGTTCTACCAAAAGAATATGCAACCCTTCGCAGATATAGACAGAGTAATATTCACAAATAACAGAATCATGCATGTATCCATCAACAATACAAGGTAGATTTACCCTATATTACACTTAAATCAACTTAAACACCTTACTTTAGCTTGTATCAGACATAACTAAATGGATCACATTGGACATACTTAATTGAATTAAGATATGCATGCATGAGACAAGTGAAAAAAGGTTCATTCATAGTGATAGTTTATGGACATTGTAAACTGTAGTTGATTGATATCTGCGTCAGATCTCACTTAGAGTTTTGATAAATGCGCTCTTGAATTGAAAAAAACCGTTTGCATTGCCTAAAAGCTACAAGTCAATATGCTAATAAAGAAAAGGACAGGAAAGGTATGCAATATGATTACAGCACAATGTTAGCATTGCAATCATCCCTGGTAGTCATTGCCTGCACGATTATGTCAGCTCTCATACAGAAGAGTCTGATAGATAGACACACCGATAGAATTTCGCCATGATAGACGTGCACAAAGACAAATAGACGAACAAACGAAACAGACATTGTTTACAAACTAACTGCATTCCGATCTACACCTCTATGCTCATCAACCTGTCAATGGAAGCGACTATGAAATTTTGTTCAATAGAAATAAGGTTCACTTCTTTACCATCTTAAAAACACGATATTTATCGACATTACCTTGCTCAAAATCTGCTGCTTAATCGTCGCACACAAGTTCAGAAGGTAAAAGAAATCTCATTACGCGCAGGAAAATGCAATATTGGGWGTTTCTCGAATTGTGTGGGTATCTCTGTGGGAATTCAACCAGCTGTATGATAGACGAAAAACAGCAGATTACTCAATACCACAATCTTGGACTAGAAAACCGCAACGGTTTACTGACTTTTTTAAACATAAAAAAATACTGTATCTTGAGGAGAATGACACATAWATAGCTACTAAAAAATATCCCATTCGATGGTTTTATTGGAATATATTTAGGACACACTTGAAATAATCATATCTGAATAAGTGAAGAAGTGAAGTGAAGAATTAATGACCGAATAAATGAATGGATGAACGAATGAGAGAACAAGCTTTTTATCACAAAATTTCACTTCTATCCCTGTGTCACAATATATCAAAATCTTTATGTTTTGTCCGCTACAAAACCTACTTTTGAACTTTTCATAACAGTGAGTYAAAGTCGGCTTCATTGTTTGTGACAAATTAAATGTTATACACTGAGATTTGGCGCCAAAATAGAGCACAAAACACAGACGCGTGCGTGCGTTTAATACAAGTCTTATCTTTGTAAGCGATATCTCTGTATTTACCCTGCTAACAAGATCAACTGACAGATGTCTACACCACAAGCCGACTGTAGTTTCACTAACAAGGTTCTAACACGCACTGACACCGCTGAATTAGGTTATACATAATACTCTGTTTTTAGCTTAAAAAAAAGACGGGAAAAAAGCAATATTGGAAAAAAACTTAGTCAATGTTAGGTTTTTATTCTGTGATTTGCCTAATAATTTGTTATTTTTAGTCCTTTTTCTGCACAAATGCATTCTTTACGTTGCAATATATATAATCAGATATGTTTACTTTGGGAGAAGCGTAGGTTGAGGTGTTTAAGCTACCAATTAACAACATCAGTACTAGTAGCACACTCGGGATCCCTGTGTACCCATCATGCCTTTCGACAATATCTACATGAGCAAAATGAGCAAATACAAAGGTACAAATACGGACAACCAATTGTAAAAGACATACAACATATCGACAACAAGCCCCCTTTCCCTCCCCTCGCCCAACACTCACACCTCAGGGCTAGGTGCGCAAGACATTATGGGAAGTGAGTATACATTAGGCATCACATATTCTACTTGAAAAGCACAAAAACAAGGAGGTTAATCAAGTTCTTGTTACTTAACCAAATGTTGATTTAGTCATGGTATTTATCCATGGTTATCGCAGATTAGCTYAAAGTAGTCCGTGTAACCGCGTGACCTAGTAAGGTTTGTTCAAGTCATCGGCTTTGCTTTTATAAGATGTATACTCATGGTTACATATTCACTAAACTTTTCATAAAGTCAAAAAAGCACAGTTAACTACATATATATGCAAAGTTATAGACATTCAGTAATCAATACATRCATAATATTAAACAGAATGTCTTACCGGACCGAATGGCTTTGGCACTATGAATGGTTGACTCTCTCCTGACCAGGATTCAGCAAACGGACCTTCTCTTGACGACCCAACCTAGAAACTGACCCAACCAAACACTCAGTCAGTCATATATCTYYACASTTTCAGTACAGAGKTRCAACTGTCYGAGAGCTCGATCGAGGGYGGTTTGGTTGTGAGCTTCACGGATACTGCTAAAGACATAAGATGTCAAGACAYATCCGCGCCTTGTTAGACCATTACGACCACACATTAAACACGCCTCTTTTTATCTGAGTTAATTCAAAGCTTYTCAATCACAACTTCCTCAGTAGGAAAACGTTTACACTATTTATTTAGCAGTGTATCGATAGATCATCTCCAGAACAAACAGTGCAGACTAAACAGAAGGAGGTAGAGTTCTTATCGCATAGATCCCAGACAATAAACCAACCAATGACCGGCGTTAATCGATCTGCTATTATTTCCGCACTAGTGCGGCGCGCTCGCGCGCTTATCTATAAATGAGGGAAGCATCCTTGATATCAGTATTGATAAACAACCGAAAAAWTGGAAATACCGTGAGAAAATACTCTCCTCTTGACGGGAATTATAACCACACGTTTGGTGAAAGGCTTGGATATACTTGCAAGAATAAAAAATTTGGAATAGCTAGTTTAAAAGTTTGAATTTAGAAATCAGACTGGTTTTAGATTAGTTTCTAATAACGAAGGATATTGTCTGGTTGAGATAACCTTTTTGTAAGATAAAATCAAAGATTGATATTTTAAGTGAAAGGATGTTTTGTAATACAAAGAGGAATTGAGTTAATTTGCGTGATTTACACTAGACTTCAACTCGTAGAGGATGTAAAATATCATGTTTAGTGCCAGTATCCGAAAGCCTTTATAACTAGATGGGTAATGTACATAAGGTCTTCGAGATTGATTTATGCCACATCAATGAGATAAAAGAATAGTTTACAATAAGAAAAGTTATATAAGGACGTATAGTAAGTCAAAAGTTGATAAGATCGACAGAGAGCGCGTTCCTTCAACGCTATCAGGGTCAAAATCAAGTCAAATCATTCACATCAGAAATCGTTGTTGAAAGGAGTACATCGGTCCATGCAAAAAGTATTGAATCACTGTGATTTACGKAGGTTTAGCGTATTACGCACGTGAAGTGAGAAACGAATCACTATCGATTTGAATTATATTAAAGATTTTGAGAACAAATGTTGTCCCTTCGTCCTACAAGAAGCTGAGAGTGTTTTTATAGTGAACAAAAGTGCTGTAATAACAGTATTCRACCGATAATACTGATTCTCCAGGGAGTGCGCGTTAAGCATGAACTAGAGAATAATTGAAGCAGCTGGCCTATAGCCTTAGGTACAGACTTTCCAGTTAAAAATCTAATTAAAAACATACATTTAAAAAATCAAAAACACAGCAGCACTGCAAGAAACAGATGTTCCATCCATTGCAATAGTAATGTCATGAGAGTTATTTCTTGCATGCAATGATAATTGTGCTTTACAAATCGTTGGTATGTAATCATTAGTCATGCTAAATAGACGTTAAAAGGTCACCATCAGTGGTATTCCGTCGAACTCAGCATGGGGGAAWCACGTTTTAATAGGTTTATGTAGATGGTGTTGTAGATAACGATAAATATGTGCTAACTTCATGTCCCTATCCAAACAAAAAGCACTGTGTTCACCACATGTTTTTATAAATTTAAGCAGAGACACTCGTCATTATTATAAAAACAGTCAAAAATTCCAAATTAATAGTTACTTGAGCTGAATTAGAAAGGCATCAACCAGCGTAATCTTCTTCAGTATTTTTAAAGGCGAAAAAGTTGTGTTAAAATGATAAATCATACAACTCAAAAGTATGGAAAACTTGCTGACTACGYTCCAGACGTTGTTCCTTTGTAAGCTTGAATACAGGAGAAGAAAGACGAACGATGGAGAGAATAATTGTCGCATTTTGMAATAAAAGGTTTAATTTACCACCGCCAAATGCTTAGCTATCACCTCGTTTTGATATTGAGGCAGGACTACCATCCAATATCTCACTGGGACAGTGAAAGTGCTTATCATATGGTCAGTGCTGAATACAATGGGAACAAATGTCCACAGAATGGAGCCACTGGAGAGATTATGTGAGAAACTCTGTCACAACCATAGAGGAAATGTTATTGTTTGAAGCCTAAAGTCAGGGACATCACAAGAGAAGACATACACCTGCAGCAGATGCATACTCATTTCCAGACATACCATTCAAGCTCATAAACTCGAGCTGATACGATGTACTTGAGTGTCCCTGTCTAAACTGATAGCGGCTCAGACTGACGGAAAGCACTATCTCCAGACGAACATAGCTCAGGTCGGGGATGACATCCAGTCACGATAAATTAAAGATCATCCTAATGAATATGCCGTCACGAGCCCAGAAAGCTTAGCTAAGATGTTCGCGTTGGTCTAAACCGTCTACGAAACGTCTAGGACTGATAAAATGACATCATTCATAGCTTTTTTCCTGAGTATTGTTTTGAGCATTGAACATCAGCACATGCAGTGCCTTGAAAAAGGGTTCATTTGACATGGTACACTACGTAACAGAGCGTTACAGACGTATATCAGTGCGTTTTCAGTTATAGAGTGCGCAATCGTACAGCAATATCATTACTTAGGTACACCATCCTTGCGTTTTAAAAAACGGTTTAGAGATTGAACGCGGAGACTTTGTTAGTTTACTTCGCCGGGTGAACTACGAAAATCTACGTGCGTAAAAAAACGTAAGGTACTTACTTTTCCGCAATAGACATTGCAATACGGCCTGAAAGCGATTTTTTATGCGTAACAAAAGAATTACCGATACGCAAGACCCTGTAATAGCCAATCGACTTATAAAACGGAAATCTTTTAGTTCAACTTGCATAACGTAATTGCAAACAAGAACTAGTGACCATTGACTTGCTTAAAAATGTGCAGAATTCATCAACTGAGATTACGGAGTGTTTAATCAAAGATTAACCTCTAGTAGAACGAATCTAAAAAATAAATGAACATAAGATCACTGAAAACATGCCGGAAATACCTTATTTAATTTGTTTAGTTTTCGATTTGCGCAGAAAACATTAAAGCACACTGGGGTATATGTAATTAAAATATTTTGTTTGTTTTGTCTCTTACCTTGGATGGTGCAAACTGTCAGCAGACCAACGCAATAACTACTTGTAGCTAGTTACTAATGTCTGAAATTGAAATATTAAACGAAATTATTCACTTAGTCTTCTTAATCACTCTAAAGTCTAAGCTCAATTTCCTGCACTTTATAGAAAGGTTTTGTGAAATCCAAGACTTACAATGTACACAATGTAACATCTTTTGCCGTAAAACGTCATTGAATTAGTCCAGTGACGACCCTTCTAAAGTAACCATAGTCACATTTATACAGGAAACTAACTCTATATACACCTCATTGAAACACTTTGACGGGCTCAAACAGACGAAATTATCGAAGACCAAAGGTATGGTTCTGGGTACTCCGAAATTTGAACGGTCTAAACAGAGTCTAATATGTACACGCGAGTGGATAGCTCGTATCGGAAGCCTTGATAAATCAGTGCAGACATGTAGTGAAACACTGTCATACKTATACTATCGGCCTAATTATTTGCCTTCCCATGCTCCTTTGCGGTCTAAGATTCGATGATGTTGTCTTTAAGAACCTGATAGCGTCTTTCCGATCTTTTAATAATGGGACAACATTTGTGGAATTGGGGCTAACTGAAAGTTGGTCGCAAGCATCTGCGGTTCACTGGCAAATATGAAAAAAATTGTACAAGGMAGATACAGCAACGATAATTGTAATGGTAACAATACATAACAGTTATAATGATTAATACCTAATAACAATGATAACAGTCAAGAACATAAGAGGGACTATGCTCTCAAATCCYTCAAGTTCCGTTTAACATGCATTAATTGTTTCAGCTCCAGCTGGCAAACCCCTACATGCGCGATGAAGTACATCAAACAGGTTGAACAATGCAGTTGTACTTACTATTTTATCATACACGTGTTACTTTTAACACTGATTTCCTGGGTTTATTTAGTATTAATAGTAAGAACTTAGCAATAAAACACTAGAATTATAATGGTACAATGATTTGTATGACTTCTTGCATTAGGAAAGGTCAAGAATATAGTAAAACCTGTGCAAACTTTCAAAACTCAAAAATTGTTTATCAAAATGATTAAAAGTATTGTTTTAACTATAAGATGGCTTCATTGTCTTAGTAAGGAATGTGTTGTTAAGCTTTGATCAATATCAAAGCTGAAGTACCCTACTTCACATAAGTGGCCCTATTCACCAATTCAACGCTCAAAAAGGYACTATTTCTGCAAAAGCACGCAAGCTTCTGCTCGCAGCTGAAAGCAAAATAAACTTGTAAATCCAGTTTATAATGTCCATGAACTCTATGAAACACCGTTTAAAGGTTAGTTAGCAAAGAAAACTATTCTTATCATTACAATATTCATGATTGACGTTGCCAATTGACTCAGTTACTYGATTCTATGAATCAAGAATCGCTAATGCACTGCCTTCTTTGAGCGTTTTGGCGCCAAATTGTCCATAAATTCAGCGACGCAGACGTCTGGCGTTTACACGGTACATCATTGCACGTCATCTTAGGTTTTCGCCACGAGTAAAGATGGAAGTTATCGAAAACACAAACAATATTCAAATGCACTCTTTGAAGGCCACTTGGATGATTTACAATTCTCATTAGCGCTCAAACAGCAATGTACTTCGCATGACTCATCAAATATCATCAGAGACTTGTTATTTGTTAGGCACGTAGCTCACCTGTTTTTTGTGATTTCTTGAATCTAGCAAGTTAATAATTCTGATCATTTGTTGTGACCAGTAGATCGTTCAATGCCTAAGGGCTTACACAACTTCTACTTTAAATGGTTATGCTAATCTTTGTCAATGAAAAGTCGTCAATATRGTGTTTACTTAAGGAATGTTCTGCTTCATTTCAAACAGCAACCAATGCCAGTTACGTACGTAGAGACTGTACGCAAACTCAACGTAAACGCAATAAAAAGATATTATACTCAAAGTGAGATTTTTTGTAGTTTTGAAAACTTTTCCGGACGGTGTGTGTCCACTTTTATGATGAAATTGTTTGCATTAAGCAAGCTTATACTGTGGTTATCAATATTACAGCACTGTACAGCCATGACAAGACTTTTTAGCAATCTATTTTTCATGTGTTTTCGCGTGATAATGGAATMTCTGTGGTTAAAGCCAAAAGAAATAAAATGACGTCAATGCAGATTAAGAAATTCAAACTGACAGTAATAAAGACGGCAGGGAAATAGAAGTATTATAACGAATAACAAAGAAGAAAAAGTACATGAAGATTTTGAGAGTAATTACGACAAAATGTTTGTGAAAAGATAAATGCTCAAGCCGAAAAAAAAAACAGACAGAAAACTTTAGTGTCCAAGTTCAGCTAGCAAAAATTTCAAATAAAAAAACAACAAATCTGTACTATAATAGAAATTAAAGTTAAGGTGAAGTCAATCGTTACCGCTGTATACCACAGAACAGAATGATGTAAAATGTATTGTTCGCAAAATATTGAAAACCACAGGGAAACCAMGTCAAGCACTTGKTCTTCGCTACGGATCACTGATTCRGTAAAGAGGCCKCCGAACCATTTCGTTGTTATGACAACGTCACACAACAAGCATCCTTCTCCGGTTTGCTGTGTTGACCAGCAAATTCCATCAAAGTATCAGCAAACTCTGTCCTGTAGATTAGCCAAACGATATCATTATGACTAAAAAGTGTATTTGTGAAATCTGCAGTTGTGGGTAAGTAATCCTTGTGGCTTTTGTCAAAAGTCATCTTGCTATCGCTGCCAGCTCTTCTCGCTTCCTACTGGGACGTATTTCGTCTCCAAATGGTATCCAGATGGCTTCGAATTGAATACATTTCGTATTCTAGTTAACATATAGTGTTCTAGAACGACTGATCAAGCATTCTATTCAGTATTTTACGGTTTTCTGGAGTTAAAAGTTTTGATTGAGTGAAATAAATATCATTGTTAAGTGTTACTACACGTGATAATTTCAATTAGAACAATATTATACTTCATAGAAAAGCCATTTCAGTGCTAAAGCCAATCGAATGCAATATCACTTCGAATATAAAAGATCGAGGGGCTGAGATCTTTATTATATATCCGAACTAAAACATTATACATTTCATGGTTAAAAGTTTCAAATAACATCTACATTGACCTTGTTGCTAATGGTTACCACTTATCAACTTTGTCGATTAAGTATTTTTTGTGGTTTTTAAACATTACGGGCTCGCAAAAGTCAATAAAGCACAGAATTKTGTCTCAACAGATCTCAACGATAAATTTTATTACTTTTTTAGTACTAAGAGGCGAAAATAACAACTGAATTGAAACACATCTCAAATATTCATAGGCATTAGTTCTAATTATCTTGTACTATTAAGATTTCGCTACTTTTCCGTTTTATTCTTCCTTAATCGTCTTTATTAGAATTATTTCTAAAGCTCTGAAATGTATTTGACTATTAACTTTAAAGAAACACTCGATTTATATCTAGTAAAAAGTAAAATATCTCTGAATTTTTTTTTGTCTGGATATTCATAATTTATAAGGTTATATTATTTATGAAATGTTGATACAATATTACATGTGTTTTTCTATGCTTTTCTCAGCCTTATTCTCGCCTAGGGTGTTAGCCATCATTCTAAAAGAAAATAACTTAGTTAGCTTATTCTAATTTATTAGACAGGCGTTGTGAAAAGAATACTTTTTTAGAAACACAATTTTATTAGATCAACGTTTTTCTTCGTATGAAATTACCACGAAAAGTCAACAAAAAGTCGAATGGAAGCGACAGGTCCTGCAGAGTCGACCAATTTAACAGATTAGACGGTTATGCAAATTGTACAAAAAAGGTTTAAAACACTTGTTTTGGCATAAATGAAGTACGTCTATATTTGCAATTCAAAATCATGGGAAAATTGGATGAAAAAAACGTGTCCGTTTTCAGTTAASATTCGAAAAGGTAAATCAAAGGAAGAAGAAGAAAAAAAACGACATTAAATTATAAAAGTCCTTAAAAACCAACCACTTCGGATTGCTGTTCTTTTTCGGTGTCAGATTGAAAATGAGATTTTTTAGTGTATTTTTGACAATAAAGTAGGATCATATGTTGAAAATCGGAAATGAAAAAGAACTCTTCTTAGTGAACACTGATATTAGCTTTTGTTTGCTTTGTTTCTAGGTGACATTGTCAAAAAGCAATTTAGTAACCTCCTCAGTATTTCACTTACGATATAATCATTGATAGACATTTTAGGTTCTGTTTGAATAATTCAATGGGCTTCCTGTGTTGAGAATGGCACAGGAGACCCAGTCAGCGCGGGACACTAATACGAAACAGCCGTTGATCGCTCAAGAGTATGTTATCACAGGCCAGTTATCGCCAATATCGATTCATTTGGTCTGCCTGTCATAGAAAGATATAATAAACTACAGCCACGTTTCTTTCGTTATCAA